TCTCTCTCTCTCTCTCTCTCTCTCTAGTATTTAATTATTTATTCTGCTTACAGAATTGCAAAATTATAAAATTCTTACCCCGTTTAAATTGTGCACAGCTATATGAAAATTGTAGAATTACACATACAATTACAAATATATTATATGTATGTATAGCAAACATTTTAGCATTTAAACATTTTCCAGTCATATAATTCTTGAGTCTATAACTCATATGACTGTCTCCTAAAAACAATATGATTTTTATTTAATAGTTTTTATATGATATAAGACGTAAAGAATGTCTAAAAATATTTTTAACATTCAATTTCCAATGAAATATAGATTTTTATTTGTTTAGGTGTTTGTCGACAAATCAATTGATTTTAAAAGTGGATATCATTTCAATCTCTCTTTATGTTTGTAATAATAGTTGTCTTCAAAAACTTTCTCATATTTTGATGCCAAGGATTAGAAAAATTGATTGAATGACAAAAAACCCAAACTTGAATTTGAAGTGGAGATGCATTTTATGATGAATTATAGACAGAAATTTGATTTTACTTTTCAATATTGACTTATATTTGACACAGATTTCGGAAAAATTGACTTTTTTCATAATTATGTAAATAATGTGTGAAAATATTTTTATAGCAAAAATAATACATTTATTTAAAGGAAATTATTATGCAATGAGTCGTTTTGAATGTGATATATGAGTACATAAGTTGTATGATAAATGAATTCACACTTCATGTAAATTACACTTCATTGCCAAAAAAGATGATATAGATTAGATATATTACAATAGATAATAATTTTGTGTATTATATAAATAAAATTCATTATGTAAGCCTATTAAGGAATTTTACTTTCAAATATTTGCATTATTTTTAATTAATTTCGATAACAATAGTTTCTATTATGCAATTCTGTTTTAAGTATACCTTAATATGTATTACAGTTTAAATTATCAATAATTGTCCCATAGGTTGTTTTGCATAGAATTTTAATTATTTCAAAACATTTAACAAATCTATACCAATACCAATCATATTTTGTCATTAATGTCAATACCAAATTGTCATTAATTTGTATTTATGATAAACTGTGTGTATGAATGAGAAAACATTTATGATGGCATTTGATTTTATTTTTAAAGTAATATCAAATTCTCTAAAAATAAAGTGATTTCAAATAAAGGGATTTATTTTTAAACAAAATCTAATGATATGTGAATTGAATAGTTCATTACAGTGTTGTCGACAGTATTGAGCAAAATTACAAGATTTACTTAAGGGCCTACCATGTTTTATTCTTATACTAAAATGTATATGACATTCTTTGCCAAAGTCTGACAATCAATTGAATTGATTTCTAAATTTATGAACAGAAATATTTGGCAAAAATAATGTCATTCCACTCAAAGAAAAAAAACTGTTTTCCGAGTGCTATCTTAATTAACATAATGGTCCAAATGGGCCACGAGGTCACTATGCTACCCATAATCCAGTCCCAAAGTCCGATAATCAAACGGATTAATATGTGTTTCTTATGAATCAAATTCACTTCAATTATGTCTCCTTTTTTCTCGACATATTGTTTAATCGTTTCATTCGTGGGTTTCTTCATATCATACGCCAAACCGAGTAGTGATGAGATGACTATGAAAACTGTGGCCAAATTGTAACTCTCGTACCATTTGTAGTAACTGGTTGTATAATCGTACTAAAACACAAATTCAAACAAATTAGTGACACATTTGACAATTAATTGAGAATTTATATTAATAAATTCATAAGAATAAAAAGCGTTTAATATTTCTCTCTGTGTGTTAGTACCAGTCATAGACATTACTACTACTTTTGCAATCACTTTTAATATACCGTACACTAAGATTACTGTTTGATTGCTACTTAAAAATCAATTTATTCAAATTCAGATATAGTATTTATAGTTATGTTACTATACAAAACATAGAATAATACTCTAGATAAAATAGTGCTAACTTACAGGAAAGGCATGGTGATAATTATGAGAGCCCTCTCCCATCGACATATACACGACCAGCTTATTCTCGGTGGGTCTCAAATCTTTGTCATATATCCTGTACCCGAATATATGTGCGATACTGTTGACGGTCCACATGTGGTGCAGGACTACCACAGCTCTGATGCCAACACACGAGACAAATGCTGTTAACAGGTCTTCACTCCATAGCAGAGGAGTGAGAGTCGGAAGAATGAAACAGAAGATAATAGCGAGCGGTGTATAGAATCGGTGTTGGAATCGGACTATTGGGTCGTTCCAGAGGTCATCGTAAGACAACTTTTTGCCAAATTGTATCACTTTCGGGTCCTTCTTCACGAGCCACCAGCCCATGTGTGCGAAGAAGAAACCACGGGTCGAGTTCTTAGGGTCGGCCACACTGTCTGACCATTTATGGTGTGTCCGGTGGTCGCGTACGTACGAAAAGATACTCCCATTGACTGTCATTGTCTGCAATATCATTAATATCACTTTCAAAGGCCATCGAGCTTTGAACGAGCGGTGAGCCCACAGCCGATGGGAACCGACCAAAATGCCTGACCATTCAATGCACGTATTAGTTGTCATTTGCAATACATTTTATATATTTAGTGTTCAAACCTAATCCTGAAGCGCACGATATTATATAAATAAAAGTGACGGTCAGTGCCTTAATGTCGACTACAATGCAGTGATAGTATCCATAAGCGGCCAGAATATGCATAACCGTTAGAAATACCACATTTCCCCATTTTATTTGAGACATCTTATACCCAAACACTGTGAACCCCTTCTCACTCCCATTTGATTTAGTTGTTTGGCATTCATTCTCATTGTTATTATCCAAATTGAAATCGTTTTCAGCGTTTGTTTCCTCCAATGTGTCATCTTTTATATCAATTACTTCTTGCTCTTTGTTTTCTGACATTTTTTGTTTGTATGTTTAGTACAAACTTTCTGTAATTTAAATGATTCATAGAAGTCATTAAAATTTATTATAAAATTTATTTTTGTAAAATTTAAATATCAATTTATAATTTGTTGTTTTATAAATAATTATTACGTATGCAGCAAGGAATTTTTTTTGGGTAATTTCTATGTAAAGATAATTTCAGTTTATTCAATTATTAACTATTAATTCCATTTATTATAGTGAAATAATTACAATTATGTATTAGCATTACAATAAACATTATTTACTATAATTGCATCATTTATTCTATTATTTCATATGACATATAATTTATTTATAAAATTATTTAAATACAATCGTGTTAAATAGCACTACAATGTGCAAGAGTATTACAATTGGTTGATAATTAGTTATTTGATAATATTATGTTACTAGTTGGAAAATTACTAAATTATTGTGAGATTTTATTTTTTTTATATGTAAAAGTGAGAAATTCAGTATTTAATTGCGTTTATTAAGAATACTATTAATCAAATGAAAATATGACACCAAACTAATGAAATCCTAAAACTTTGGTCATTATTATACATATATCGTAGTCTGTGTCACAACTTCTAAACTTTATGTCTGAAACCTGTATTCGAGACCAATTTAAGGCCCCCTTAAGTATCTCAAGTTACGCTTATTTTTCTACTAATCAAATGTTTAAATCTATTTTGAGACTATTACTAAATATGCTCATTTTTAAGCAATTTATACAGTATTTTAAGAACTTTTCGGTGCATTCTCTGGGACATACAACTAATTATCATTTGTTAATAATTGTTTGTATATAACTGTCAATTTCATTTTAAAAAATTGTTTATTAAAACATAATATTTAATGACTGATGAATACGGGGTTGTTTTCAATGCTTTTTTGTAATTTTATATTTTACTAAAATTTCTCAAACATCTACTTTACATTATTTTTTGGAAAATTTTGCTTGTCAAATTTTAAAACTTTAATACCATATAAAGGTTTTTTGAAGTCAATCAATTATATTTGTATCAATGTTATTGTTTTTAATAAACGGGTAATTTTTTGGCATTTATACTTCAAAAAAAACAATACAAAACTAAAAACTTATGGAAACCCACCCCATGCTGACGGCTTACCACACAATTCATCAAAATATAAATAAAAGTTTCAATGAAAATATATGTTAGGAATCCCCGCACAATAGCCTCAGGTATCATAAAATGTTTTAATGGTTGTGTTCACCCTACCGATAAATCCCTTTTCCAGTATTGAATGCACTTAGTGCCCCAAAAATCGAGCACTATAGTACAGTACTTAATTAACAAACAACAAAATAATAACATATCATAGTTTTACTTTTAATGATTCTAAGAATATATTTATATCTGAATATAATTAAAGCTAAATTTAAATTTATATGGAATTTTTAATTATAAAAAACATCTCTTTTTTGTATAACAATTTCTACTTTATTTCAAATGATTTCACATTTTTAAGACTTTAAACCCCAATAGAAATTCCCAAATAAGTGAATGAATGGAAAGTGAATACTAATTGAGTCGAAACCCTCGCGAAACGATTGCATAGTTTGCTCGCATAATAACTGTTGGAATGATATTGTGTTTCGCAAAACAAGTTCTCCGGGCTATGGGTTCATGCGGTCAGACGTCAACTCTTTCGGTATATTCTTAGACCAATACAAGTCATGAACCCTTGTTATGCCCTTAAGTCACAGTCAAGGTCTCAATACTATTATTATTTTAAATTACTTAAATTCTTATGTAATAGTATTGATTTCATTTGGAGTTTCAATTTCAAACCAATAATATATTAGTTTAAAAGTTTCAAACACTAAAAATAACTTTTACAAAAATCAACAAAATTCATAACTAATTTAATCAATGAACTCTTTCATTGAATATAATTATAATACTGTATAATGTATTTTTGCCAATTGAGTGCTTTTTTGTAGCTATAAAACGAGTTCAAGAACTCCGATAGAAAGCAATATAAAATGTTTAAAAAGTCAATCATATTATTAACAATAGGCTATTGAACACATTAACATTGGAGGCAAATGACATGTTTAGGCAATCATTCACTTTTGCTTACGATGTTACCAAATTTTTTTGTATTAAATATAAAAGAAATGTTAAATTTTTGTAAACTTTATGCAGATATTAACATTGAAAATAATATTTATTAGGCTGTTATTTAACAAATAAACAAAATAAACAAAATAATAATAATAAAATTTTCCATTAGTTTATAATTCACAGAACTATATTTAAATAATAATAAATTATAAATTATAAAATTATAGTTATTTTGTTAATAACAGTACATAACCAAGGTCAGGAACCAGGTTTGTGTGAACCTCATTTATAACGACTCTAAGTGCAATAATCAAATATAAGTACTTTTTTAGTTCTAAGAAATTCATATTAAAGATTATTAAAGTACTCAAGAAATACTGGCGTAATTAAAACATAATATGTTTAAACAAAAATGTCTAAACAAAATATCCAGCACCTCTCTGGTTCCCTAAAACTACAATAGAAAAAATACTATAAAATTGTGTTTTTTCATTAAAAATTAAAACATGATAACTGAATATATTTTGTATTCAGATATAAGATATAATGTTTTAATTTTTAATAAAAAACACATTTTTATAGTATTTCTTCCATTGATTACAGTAATTTATTTCTAAAACACTTTTATAGCCCATACCTCCTATCACAGTTATATATGTTCTATTAATTTATTAATAATTACAAAAATTAATCATTACCAATTTTTGCACTTCAAATTAAATTAAAAATCTTAAAGTATACAAAACCTTCCTACATAAATAAATTAATCTAATTTAAACCCATATCCTTAAAACTATTAAATTGGTAAAAATTAATTTAAACCAAATTATGAATTAAAGTTTGAAAGTGTTATTCCAAAAAATAAGATTAATATTTTTAAATAAAAACTATGTAATTTTAACTGGTTATAATAGATTAAAATTTATGTAAGACAATAATAAAACTATAATTATATTTAATGTAATATATTACTTACATTTGAAGAATCGATTACAAATTGGTAACAAAATCTCTATGACTACACAAATAGAAACCAAAATGCTTTTCAAGAGTGTATAGAAAATAGTTTCTAAAGAGACTAAACTTTTATATAAAGGTCATCCCATCCCTCTCAGTCACCATCCCATGAGTGCTCACTGTACTTCGTGCGCATACGGAGGGCTTTACCTTTTGGTACAAAATCATAATGAAATCACAATTCGTGTGCATTCAGAATATGACGTTAATACAAGTATCATGGTTAAACTAACCAATTACTTTAGTTGAGTTACATGTAATTCATATAATTTGTTTAAATTTTTCCAATATTTTGAATCAAAACAATTATTCATAAGTACGTATGTCATACAGGAATAATATACAGTAAATACATTTATCACTAAATATACTGTAATTGTATTGGAAAACTTTATATTTGTGATAGGAAATAAACTCAAGATTATGGATTGTATATGGATTTAAAGATTTTTTATTTTAACTTTACTCGCAAGCAATGAAAAAGCTTTAAATTCATATGCAATTCATAATCATGGGTTTATTTTCCTATCACTGATATATAAAATCATTTTACAATTATTGTAATATATTCATGATATATTTCACAAGAGTTGTATTTACATTGTTATACTTTTTTTTGATAAAAAACATATTATCTGCTTATTACTACATTTTCATGGGGATGTTCTAGAAAAAAAATCTTAAGGTTTAACTACAAATTAAATAAATTTAACAGGTATCATGAATATTGTGTAATTCATATATTATTTCATATTTCTATTATATTCGGTGAAATAATTGATAATTTTTCATAAGCTGGCCATGAATTTATGAATAAGTTATAACAAACAAATTAAAATATTTTTAAAAAACAAATTTTATTGAATTTGTTGGGCGTCATGAATTGGACGCCAAATAAATAAGTTATTTATTTTTTATTTAAATTAAAATTTATTTACTTGAATAACTAAATATATTGACAATAAAAACTAACTCTTTTACAGCAATTATTGAATGAATTAAATTATAATTAATTCTATCATTAAAATAAATCGTTTTATTACTGTAAATAAATTTGTTAAGCGTATAATTTTTCAATATTTTAGTTAATTTCGGTGACAATTAGCGGAATAAATAATTATTTAATGCGTGAAAACTCTTACAATTTTTACTATAATTTACTTATAAGTACTAGAAAAGGGAAACACCTATTTGGCACATTAGAAAGTACATGTATATCATATACATTAATTAGGTAGTTTTAGTAAATAAATATTAATTTTGTTTTTGAAATTTAATTTGAAAATAATAAGTTAAGAAATACAAACAAAAAATATTTATTAACTAAAGTATGGTCTGATAACTACTGTATAATATAATTTACAATAATATACATTAAATGAATACAAAAATCGCTTCTCTATTGTCTCATAAAATAGATTGAATTAATAAACTAAATGTCATTTATTAGGCGTTGAGTTGTCAGTCAATGATTGTATGGATTCCTCGTATTTAGACTTAATATCATTCAATATAAGATTAAAACCATTTAATGACATCTTGAGTGAACATATTTGGTCTATAATCTCATGAACAAGTGTTAGGCCATAGTTGTCGCTATTATCCGCCAGTTTATGTCCATTAGTGGTCTTCTGGATAGCGATCTGTTCATTGAGTGTCTCAATTGTGGGCATCGTTTTGGCAACAATCAAAGATCGGATAATTTTGGCCGTATTTAGTATAGCGTTCACATCGTATTCATCGCTAAAGTCTTGTAAAAGAGTGGGAATGAGGACCTCTTGTTGTGTCGATTCAATGCATACGAGTGTCTCAGAGATTGTCGATAACAACGATTCGTCACGACTTTTGCTCTCACTTTCGGATTTCGTCGACGAGTTACTTGAATACAAAGACATC